GAAGATCGGATGGGTGTTGTCCATGGACTTGATGACTCCGAGTCGGACTATGACATTGCTGATGATGCTGATGATGATGCTGATGTCCCATCGAGTGCGGTGATTCGTGATGCCCTCGGCTTAGGTGTGGTTCAGATTCCTGCTGAGGTAGACAGTGTCCCACTCTGTGTTGGGAGCACGGAAAAGGGTCCTGGCAATTCATTGGTGGCTGCAGGGGAGTATGAAGACATCTGGGCTTTCATTAATTTTGATGCATGCTTGTAACTACTTTTTTACCCGCCGTTATGCGTTACGTTGCTATCATTAGCAACCAAGCTGGTCAAGCCGCGTGACGCCCGAAAAATTAGCAACCAGCACGCCGTTATGCGTTATTTTTAGCGACGCAACCAGCTAGCGTTACGCGTTACGGTTGCTTCCATACAGACAGCTACAGTATATAAACCCCTTTTTGTATTCTGTATTCCTCAGTTCGAATATCGACTTTGATCACTCCTCCTCTCTGTCCAAGCTTAAGTCCCTCGCTCAATGCTTGAAGCTAGCCTTCTTGTTGTCACTCTGACCCTCCGACCTCTGACCTCCAACAACTCACCTTACTACTCCGCTCCTCCGCACCTCATCTCCGCCCTTAGTAAATATCAGACTGAACTCGGACAAGGGCGCAACACATAAGTTGAAGCCAATGTCCGCTCCGCCTCCGACAACTCCAGATAGCCTGGAGGAATCAGCATCTTAACAGCTGAACATGCTGAACAGACACCATTCATGCTTACCTACACACCCAAATTGGCTTTTCACTTGGTGGGTATTTGATGAAAAATGTATGGACAACCTAAATATGGTATCTATTGCATGGCTGAGTGATATATGACAAATGTTTAGTAACAAATATGCAGGAAGTGCCACCTTGTACCTACTGGTGACCTAATGTTTTGGATGTCACACCATCATTCAAAGTGAGCCCACAGTGACATAACTTCCCAGGTGTCATATACCATGTTGCACCAGTCAACTCTGCTCATCTGGAGCCTACTCTGGACTGACTCTGCTTTTCTGCTTATCTCTAATACTCCTGATTCTGTACATTGTTCTTCATCCTTTGTACTTTGATGGACATTTGACATATCTAATGACTCCACCTTCTGATTCATTCCATTCTGACTCACTTTGACTCCTCCTGACTTGTTCCCTATTTCTCTGGTTACTTTGGCCCACATTCCATGCAATGTCAGGCCTTCTACTAATGGCGAGGTACATCAACAAGCCCAGGGCTGTGAAAAATGGCACTTGACACATCTTTGCAATTTCAATGGCTGACTTCAGGGACTGAGTTTCTGAACATTGTATGTTTGGGTCCATAGGAATTGAGACAGGGTTTAAGTTGGTAAAATTAAACTTGGCAAGTATTGCTTCAACGAATGGTTTTTGGAAGGTAGATAGAGTGTGGCTGATGTGATTGCAAGTGACTTGCATGCTGAGTAGCCAGCTGATAGGGCAGATGACAAAGTACAGTAAACTCTGGAACCAGAATGCTAACACCAGAATCTTGGAAACCCAGAGATTATGACTTTGCTTTGCCACCAAATGGAACCTCCCAGAGCTTTGGAGTGCACTCAGAATCCATCTGGGACTTGTGCAGAATGTTGTCCTACTTTATCATCCTCTTCTTATCATTACTCCATCATTATCTTGCATCAGTTAACCCCATCTTCTTTCATGTTCCTGTTCATACTCCCTTGTTATCATTAGTGAGTGCTTCTCTGCCTACTCTGCTAGATGTATATATACTTACTTCTTATAGAAAATGAAACCATCGCTGGGATTGAACCAGTGACCTCCTAGGTTTATACCAGGTGCTCTAACCACTGAGCTATGTGGTCAAGGTACTAGTGCTAGTATCTGGGGGTTAAGTCCAGCTCTGTGGGGCTATACCTATGAAAGTGCCTGCCCATAGGCCTTACAGTAAATGCACAGAATGCACACTTTCAACACTTCCTACTTCAGATTCCTCAGTCATTCTTTACCCCTCTTAGGTGACAAAAACTATAATAGGGCAATGATTGCCCAGACTACTAAGAATTAGCTATGAGTAGTAAATAAGTATGGAATAAGCTCACCTCTGCCACTGCCTAAGAGGGGCAAAGGACAACTGGGGAATAAAAAGTGAGAAATATATATATATGTAGCAGAGTAGGTGGAGAAGTGCTCATTAATAATAACAGGGGAGTGGTAGGAACAGGAACATGAAGGAGATGGGGTTAAGTGGTGTAAAATAATAATGGAGCACCCCTGGAGGCTCGGGAGTGATGATAAGAAGAGGATGATGAAGTACAATAACAGTCTGCAAGTTCTGGATGGATTCTGAGCAGATTCTGGGACTTTGAGCAGTTCTGCCTGGTGGCAGAGTGGAGAGACAATATCCAGGTTTCCAAGAGTCCAGAGTTGGTGTTATGGTTCCAGAGTTCACTGTACTTTGTCATTAGGCAGTGGCTGAGGTGAGTTAATTCTATACTGATTCACTACCCATAACTAATCCCTACTAGTTTGGGCAATCACTGCCCTCTTATAGTTTTTGTTAGTGTTTCAAAGTCCAGTTGCCAAACTGCTGAAAAACCAACAACTGGACGGAATCAACATCAGTTGCAACCTGACCTTAGTTGGCAGTTGCTGCAAATTTGGCTGGTCGTAGTCCTGGTCTCAGGATTTTTTTGGATTTGCTATGAGTGGTTGTAAACCAGTCCCAACCAGTCTTTTGCAAAACCATGGAGATCAAAATTATTGTATATTTATGTACAATTCACTACAATATACATTACAGATCAACTGAGAATGGCCTGTGTAGGGTGCTGTGTGGGCATAAAAACATCCAGATCAACTTAAAAACAGGCAAGTGGGTATCAAAATGTTGGGCATGAAAACAAGTGGGTGGGCATGAAAATGTATGGGTGGGCATGAAAATGTATGGGTGGGCATGAAAATGGGTGAGTGGGCATGAAAATGTGTGGGTGGGCAGGCATGAAAATGTATGGGTTGGCATGAAAACATGTGGGTGGGCTTGAAAAGAGGTGGGTGGGCATGAAAGTGGGTCCATGGGATTCATTATGGGTGTACTACATTCATGTTGTTGTGTCTCTTGTGAAAGTGGGCATGAAAACACACTGGTGGACATGGAAGTGGGTAGGTGGGCTTGAAAATGTATGGGTGGGCTTGAAAATGGGTGAGTGAGCACAAAAACACACCAGGTTGTAGCTGCCACTGTGGTGCATGTGTGTTGTCACTGTTGTCACTGTGCATGCCATATGTTGGTGCATGAATAATGTGCCATGTGAGTGGTGTTGTTGTTGTTGTAGCTTGGGCTGCTTGTTTTGAATAGATGTGAGGTTTGTCATTGTTGTTTGTTATTGATGAACTTGCAAAATGGTAAACATTGGCTACAGCAATGTTACCTGGTCTGTGTCGCTACAGTGAATCACATGATGATGGCATAAGAGGTTCCTATGGTGACTGAGCCCCACCATGAGAATGTATGGCAATGAAAAAGTGCAGGCAGGTGTGCTGAGTGACCTGTGGGTCTAACAAGGTGGAGCCTCCCACCCCCCACTCATTCTACTCCATTTACAACCAATCCAGCCCAGGGTAGCACTCTCACACAGTTGTGGCTATGTCTGGAGTCAAATCCCTGGGTAGGGCATTAGATTGGTAGTTGGTACCCTAAGCATCAGCCAGATGGACTAGTGGTAGGGGCAGCAGCTGTAAACCCCCTGATGAGAACTGTCATGAGTTCAAAACCACTGCCTCTGCTTTCTTTTCCTGCCCCTTGTCATACTGCACATGTGATCCACCACATGACACAGCCCCTATCTTGAGAGAAGGGCATCACAATGGATGACTAAGCAAGTGGACAGCCTGGCATGACCTCTGTGTCCTTGGTGAATCCACATCGGTTGGATGACATAAGAGGATCCCACGGCAGTATGGACTACCATGGGGAGTGCAAGGCAAATGCACAAATGCCAGTTGGTGTGCCGAAAGGCCCCTATCTTGCTCAAAATCATTGGGTTCCCATGGTAGAGACTCCTATCTCCCAATGACTTACCCTGCATGCAACCAATCCAGTTTTGGGTTGTGCTTACCTAAGTCATGCCCACTGACTAAGCCAACTCCCGAGATAGGACATTAGATTGATAGTTGAAATCCTAAACACGGTTGGATAGACAAGTGGTAGGGGCAGCAGTGAAGCCCCCTGATGAGAACTGTTGCGAGTTTGAAACTGCTGTCTGCCGCTTTCTTTATTTGCCCCTTTTCATACTGTACATATGACCACACCACATGGCCCAGCCCTAATCTTAGGAGAGGGGTGTCAGACAGATGAATAAGCAAATGAATGGCCCGACATGTCCTCTTGTGTACACAGACTACATGCTGTGTGGTGAGGCATCTTGTGCACACAGACCAGGCACTGTGGGCGTCGTGCCTCAGCCACAGTGCTACAATTTGGGAATTATTGTGCACGTGACCGGAAACCGGTTCAGACTGGTTGCGACCGCGCCTGACAACTGCCAGCCACGGGTTCACGTCGGTTCTGGTCCTGTCTTCGGATTTTAATGATTTTGCAAGACCGGTTTTGCACCGGTTGCCTCCCAAAAGGGCCAAAAACCGGACTGAACCGGACTTTTAAACACTAGTTTTTGTCACAACAATCCTTTTCAGCACTCATTTGAGAATTTTTTTTACGTTTGGATGTGGAATTTAGCACTACACAGCACACTTACACAATGGGCCTTTGCCCAGACCTGTTTGGATGGCATTATAATGTCTGTTTGGTTTTGGCCTAACATACATTGAATAATTTTCGTCGAATGCCGAGTCAAGGCCTTGACATTTTTAAGGTGTTGGTCAAGATGGTCAGACCGGCACGGTTCTCCGGGGAGAAGGAACTAAGATTCAATGTAAACCCTTTGCTAACACTGCTACCTGCGCACTGATACACTCCGCAATATTATACGTAGCCACTCTCCGAACATTTCCCGCCAACGACTAATGGTTGTCGTGGCATTACGCCCCCCTGCTCAAGAAACCAATGATATCAGGCAACTCCGGGCGATTTCTGGGAGTGACATCTAGGCAATTTTCTATCACCTGCCAGCAACTGTCCTCAATCGGGAGATCCGTCGGTCTTTGAGGGTGATTACCCGAGATCTTTGCCTGATAGAGAACCATGTCGTGAATGCCGAGGAAGGGAACCTGTCCCGACAACGTCTGTATCTTTTGTCAGACTGGATCTAGTGCACAGCTAAGGATTCTCACGTGTAACATGACGCATCCATAGGAGTAGACGTCGCTTTCGATGCTCGGCTTGGGCCGTTCCGTGTGTTGTCCTAGCAATTCAGGGGCTACCCATCGGGTTGCGCCAGCGGTCCTGCCAGATTTAAAGTAGGAGGTTTCATTGTACTCCTCGAGGATGGAAGACAGTCCGAAGTCCGAGATCAGCGGTTCGCCGTCGTCATTGATCAGGATATTGGACTATAGGAGACGGTCAGAAAATTCAAAGGAA